GTGCAGCACCGTTTGCAGAATGGGACTTTTGGCGGGCTCAGCAGGGTAGAGACAGCCTGGACAATTCCTATTGGCTTTTGAAAGCCAACAGAATTAGACTCTATTCAAGAGAGTCTATTCGATTGGCTTTCAAAAGCCAATAGAATAAAAGGGAGTAGCACAGCTAAGGAAAAGGGGGGGGAAATGGCGGACTGCATTGTTTGACAACCCCCGTGAAATAGTCATTCGACCCCAAATGGGGTCCCGACCCACAGGTTGAGAACCACTGTCTTACATTGAAATAATGTATTTAAACTGTGAAGTTGGATTCAAGGATTCAGTCGAGTTTGTTGTTGACATACCTGCCTCCCAGCTGTGTGACAACAGCCCTGCCTGAGCAGCTGGAGGGGGTAACCAGGTTGGCGGTGGAATTCCCCAGGCTTATGGTGCTGGGGGATTTCAATTTGCCATCACTCGGCGAATCCTCTGGTGTGGCTCAGGAGTTCATGGCTTCCATGACAACCATGGACTGACCCAGATAATTCAGGGTCCGACCCATGGGGGAGGACACACGCTCGACTTGGTATTCCTCTCGGGGCAGTGGAGACATGATTTCGATTTAAGGGGTATAGTCACTTCGCCCTTGTCATGGTCGGATCACTTCCTGTTGAGGTTAGATTTCTCGGTCCTACTCCCCCACCGCAGGGAGGCGGCACCGATTAGGTAGTTCCGCCCCAGGAGTTTAATGGACCCGGACGGGTTCCAAATAGCGCTTGGGGGTTTTCCTGATTCCCTCTTCCACGAACCGGCTGAGTCCTTGGTCGCTGCTTGGAATAAGGCGGCATCAGGGTTGTTAGACCGGATCGCGCCTTTGCGACCTCTCCATGATTGTGGATCCCGGAGGGCACCTTGGTTTACCGAGGAGCTACGGGAGATGAAGCGTCAGAAGAGACGTCTAGAGCGACGCTGGAGGGCTAGTAACTCCGAATCTGACCGGACACTTCTAAGAGCCTATATTAGGACTTATTTAGTGGCGATACGAGCGGCAAAATGTTCGCATTTTTCCGCACTTATTGCGTCTGCAGAATCTCGCCCCGCCGCCCTGTTTAGGGTGGCCCATTCCCTACTTAATGTTCGGGAAGCTGGGGAGCCCTTACAGGGTAGAGCGGAGGAATTTGTGCAATTCTTATCAGACAAAATCGCTCGGATTCGGACAGACCTAGACTCCGATTGGGCAGGGCCTTTTGAGATAACTGGGGCAGGTCTTAGCTCAGTTTTATGGGATGAATTTGAGTCTGTGACCACGGAGAATGTTGACAGAGCAGTGGGAGCAATGAGCGCCTCCACTTGTTTATTGGACCCGTGTCCTTCTGGTTGGTCTCGGCTGCCAAGGAGGTGACATGAAGCTGGCTCCAGGTGTTGATCAACGCTTCGTTGAGGGAGGGGTCTTTTCCACAATCCCTGAAGGAGGCGGTTGTGAGGCCCCTGCTCAAGAAGCCTACCCTGGACTCAGCTGATTTAAATAACTTCCGTCCAGTCTCCAATCTCCCCTTTGTGGGGAAGGTTGTAGAGAGAGTGGTGGCGTTCCAGCTCCGACGGTCTCTGGATGAAGCGGATTATCTAGACCCTTTTCAATCTGGCTTCAGGCCCGGCTTCAGCACAGAAACTGCTTTGGTCGCGCTGATGATCTCTGGCGGCCCCGAGACAGAGGTTATTCCTCTGTCTTGGTGCTACTTGACCTCTCAGCGGCTTTCGATACCATCGATCATGGTATCCTTTTGCGACGACTCAAAGGGGTGGGAGTGGGAGGCACCGTTTTACGGTGGTTCTCCTCCTACCTCTCTGGCCGGTCGCAATCAGTATTGGTGGGAGGGCAGAGGTCAACCCCGAGGCCCCTTGAATGCAGCGTGCCACAGGGGTCGGTCCTCTCTCCCCTCCTATTTAATATTTATATGAAGCCGCTGGGTGAGTGTCAATGCTGCAAATACTGTATATTCTTGCTTTGACAATATGCAAAACTGTCTGGCATTTATTGGGTTAATACTTAGCTTAGACTGGGCGGGGGAAAAAGCCCAGGAAAGAAAGAGGAAGCAAACTTTTGACCTTCTCACTAATTGGATAATGTGACCTGTGACTGCATGAGAAGGGAGGGGTTTAGCAAGGAAAGCTTGATGCCAGCGAAAGGAAGTTCAGATTCTGGCATCAACCAGTCCATCATGGCGACCGGCAAAACTGTAGCTCTGCAATAAAGATTTTAGGAAACATGCCTGAAAGTTCTTTGAAGTGCTTCATTAGTCGGAACATGTGACAGTGAGATCATCAGACAGCATGGGGTGAGATTTCATCAGTATGCTGATGATACCCAGTTGAATATCTCCTCCCCGAGCTCTCTCAGTGAAGCGGCCAATGTGATGGGCCGTTGCCTCGAAGCCGTGAGGGTCTGGATGGGGGTTAACAGACTCAGGCTCAATCCTGACAAGACCGAGTGGCTTTGGATGTTGCCTCCCAAGGATCATGTCAACTTTCCAGTGTTGACTCTTGCGGGGGAAAATATACCCCCTTCGGAGCGGGTTCGCAACTTGGGTGTCCTCCTTGATCCACAGCTGAATTTGGAACATCAATTGACGGCTGTGGCTGGGAGGACCTTTGCACAAGTTCGCCTGTTGCACCAGTTGCGACCCTACCTGGACCGGGAGGCTCTCCTTACAGTCACTCACGCCCTTGTCACCTCACGTTTGGACTACTGCAACGCACTCTACATGGGGCTACCCTTGAAAAGTATTCGGAACTACAGTTGGTCCAGAATGCAGCCGCGTGAGTGATAGTGGGTGCTCCTCGATATACCCACGTTACACCTATCCTCCATGAGCTGCACTGGTTGCCTATTGGTCTCCGGGTCCAATTCAAGGTGTTGGTCATTACCTTTAAAGCCCTATGTGGCTCAGGGCCAGGCTATTTGCGAGACCGCCTACTACCTCATAGTTCCCTACGTTCAGTTAGATCCCACAGGCTGGGCCTCCTTCAGGCCCCGTCGGCCAAGCAGTGCCATTTGGCGGGGCCGCGGAGGAGGGCCTTCTCTGTGATGGCGCCCACGCTTTGGAATCAGCTCCCCCCGGAGATTAGGACCGCTCCCACCCTGTTGGTCTTCCATAAGCTACTTAAGACCTGGCTTTTCCGGCAGGTCTGGGGTTTATAAAACCTTACCCCTGGATGATTGTTTTTGTATTGTTGTTTGTTATGTTTTATGTGTTTTTTATTGTTAGCCGCCCACAGTCCTTCGGGAGTGGGGCGGCTTATAAATTTTAAAAATAATAAAAAAAAATAAGTGGAATACAAACAACCTCCTTCCCACTAACCGGTAACAACTGCTGTGAACATTACTGTACACTTGGTCCTTGACTTACGACGGCAATGGGGAACAGAATTTCTGTTGTTAAGCAAGGCAGTCATTAAGTGTATCGTGCTTGATTTCATGATCTTTTTCATCACGACTGTTAAGTGAATTGCACAGGTTGAATATGTTTGAAATATTGGCGTCCTGTGAAAATTGGTCATTTTTCAGTGCCATTCTACCTTCAAACGGTCACTGAATAAACGGTGTATTACTTACCTGTATTACCCCTGAATAATTTTAAGCTATTCTTCTTTGCTGATGTAAGACTGCGCTGAAAGAGTAGTGAAAGTCATGCCCTGAGCCAGGGTTTCTCAATTTTAAGATGTTGCTTAACTTTAACTCTGGGAGTTGAAAAGTTGCCAGAGTTGAGAAACGCTGCCACACAAACACTGTGTGACACACCACAAAACTGCAGGCATGCAAAGGCAGGCCTGGCTCCTGGGTTCCCATCAAAGGCTGGGTGAATCCTTTCTCTGGCCTTTCCTAGGTGGAAATGCAGGGATCGGGAAGGCCACAGCGGTGGATCTGGCCCGGAGAGGCGCCCGTGTCATTCTGGCATGCCGCAACAAAGCAAGAGGAGAATCGGCTGTGTGGGACATCAGACGGGTAAGCGCCTGCCGTGCCGTTCTCTCCTTCCTTCCTTCCTTCCTTCCTTCCTTCCTTCCTTCCTTCCTTCCTTCCTTCCTTCCTTCCTCCCTCCCTCCCTCCCTCCCTTCTTCCTCCAGGTGTTTTCCTGATGGATTTTATTCATTTATTTAGCGCATGGCATCTACAGACGTCATGTAGTCTCTGATATGCAATGCAGATAAAACACACTATACATGCAGATGCAAATGTAAGTTTAAATAAAGCATCAACAAATACGTGTATCTCAAATGGGTGGATACTACAACAGATGAGATAAAATATTAAGTTAGGGTGAAACCATGATAAAATCTCCATAATATAGTGCCATAGAGTCACAGTGGAACAGATGTTTTACAGGGAGTCTGTGACTTCGTTGTTGTTGTTAGTTGCGAAGTCATGTCCGACACATCGTGAGCCTCACTAGAGATTCGGTAGCCCAAGCAGTCAAGGTGCGTCTGATCAAACTCGCATTTAGAGAGTTTGGCATAGAGAAGACATGTCAAACACAAGGCCTGTGGGCCGGATGCGGCCCACAAAGTGGTTTCATGTGGCTTGCGAAGCCATCCTGGAAAAAGTGAGGGAATGGCCCCCTCTGCCTTGGCCCTGGCCCAGGCCAGCCAGGAGCTAATGTACAATTCTGTGGTGGCCATCTATGCTGAAACACATTCAGTCTTAGCTCCATAATCCTCTCTCCTCTGCATGACCTGAGAGGGACAGTGAGGCTCCTCCAGTGGACCATGCCTTGGCACTTGCCCTGGTCCCACCCCCTTCTGCCAGAGACCCTCAGATCTATCCCACTCCTGCCCAGGCCCCCACAGGCACCCTTGATGCAAACAATGTAGAGCTGGCCATGCCCACCCAGTAGGCCACACCCACTCCATCCACTCCCACTCCATCCACTCCCACCCTGGCCACACCCACCGCCCCCCCCCAAGGGCAACTGCAATGCTGATGCGGCCCTCAATGAAATTGAGTATGTCACCCCTGACTATTATTACTTCCCAGCTTGTCAACAAACTTGGGGGGAGGGATAGGGGACCGGAATGTAGACTTCAAAGGATCAAGAAAGCAGACCGTAAGAACCAAGGCCGGTTCACCAGGTGTCTGGCCAGACCCAGAGACACTTTCTCATAACCATATTTTCCCTCCGAATTGGGCAATGTGACCTGACCAAGAAGGAGGAGGGGGAATTCTATACTTTTACTATATGGGGCTTGGGTGGGGTTTTGCCAGAGCTGATTTTGCTTGCATGCATGCCGTAATGATGTACTCAATAAAGTTTTACATTAAGAGTTCAGAAAGCCTCAAAAATGTTTACTTGGTTGGGTTCGTCAATCAGAATCTTGACGCTGGTGATAAGTCGATTTTTCCAAGGGCGTTGTAACTTTGAAAGGTCGCTAAATGGATGGTTGTAAGTCGAGGGCTACCTGCAATCAGAAGCCCGATTTTGGTTACCCCAAACTCTGTCTCTGTCCCTTCCCGTATGGAGTGGTCAGTCCCAGCAGCATCTCGCTGAATTCCCAGAATATCTCAGCCATCTGGTCATCGTGGGCTTGTGGCCAGGGCACCTTCGGCTGGCAGTCCGCGAAATACTGACCACTCAGCCTCTCGATGCCCTCCTCGGTGGCGCAGAAGATGGTGGTCTGGGCGCCTGTTTTCCAGTCTCGGAGGAATGGCTTGATGGACCAACTCAGCCAAATCACCCAACGGGAGTAGGAGCGAGCCAATTCGGTTTGAACAAATCCTAAAAACAAAGGCTGTGAGAGCAGGACGGGGATGGAAGGCTGTCTGGATTTTTTGGCGGGGCGCAGGTTCTGTATGCACCCTTACCGCAGCACCTGTTTTCCCAAGGAATCACTGGCAATTTGGGCAGCACAGCTTTTTGAGAAGAGCAAGAGGTGATGTTGAGTGACAATGGGATGTGTTTGTGTTTGCATGTGCATGTGTGCTGCATTGCACACACAAATCCATTGCGGTCGGTTGGCCAATACAGTCAAATAAACAACATTAAATAATAATGTTTTGATAGAATATTTGTAGCTCAGGGGTGAAGTGTGGGGTCTTTGGTCCACTCTGAGTTTGGCTGTTTTCTTGCAGTTTAGTTTCATCACCCAACTTGGTTACATCATCAGTGCAAGAAGTGGTGGCATTTATGGAGACGAGGAGGAGGAGGAGAAGAAGGAGGAGGAGGAGGAGGAGGAGCAAAGGGAGGAGGAAGGATGGGAGGAACAGAAAAGGCAGAAGGAGGAGGACAAAGAGGAGCAATAGATTGGGGAAAGCCTCATCCCTGCCTTAGGCAGTGGGTTGGACTAGAAGACCTCCAAGGGCCCTTTCCACCTCAAGATTCTTGGATTCTATTAGCTCCTGGACCAGGCAGGGTGGGAGACGTCTCCCTCCGCAGCTGAGCCCGATGGAGGAAACTCTCGGGGTGGCTCTGCAGAGGGGGTCAAGGGAGCCCCCAGTGGGACAGAAATGCCTGGCAGAGCCCCAGATGTACCTGGGGGTGTCTCCATTTGGGGCTTCTTAGAGCCGGTTTTCTACTCACCTGGATGAACCGCGTAGCAGGTGACGTTGGTTCCTTCCAGCCGATTGGCCAATTCTCGCGCATGGAGAATGTTGGCTAGTTTGCTGTTGCAGTACGATTGTAGGCCCTGCCACATACCCTTCCCTGGTTTGTGGATGGTTCGAAAGTCGATCTTCCCGAAGAAATGAAAATTTGAAGCCACAATTACGACCCGGCTTGGGGCGCAGCGCTTCATCCTGTCCAGGAGCAGGTGGGTCAGCAGGAAGTGGGCCAGGTGGTTGACCTGGAAGGCCTCATCAAAGCCATCAGCGGTTTGACCAGCCTTAAAGACCCCTGCCAGAAAAAATAATTACAGGTAGTCTTCACCTTACAAGGGGTAACTTTGTGATCATTCAAGGTTACGATGGACATAATTACCAAATGGCAATTACGACCTGGTTCCAAAGCTCCAGTGGCTCCCCCTTGTGGCCACATAATCGCCTTCTGGGTGCTTGACGACCAGCCTGCCTTTCGCAACATGTCAAGCGACCGTGATTTAGGACATTTTTTGCCAAAAAAGACATTTACTTGCAGTTTTCGCAAAAACACTTATAGTGAACAACCAGTTCGCTTAACAACCACCTTAGAAAAGGTTGTAAAATCATGTTGACCACAGGGGTGACCTGCTTTACAACCATCACAACTTACACCCATAATTGGCAGACTTCATCACGGTCATAAGTCAAGGATGTCTTGTAAGGCATCTAATTTGGTCTAGTGGTTAAGCCATGAAAGCCGGCTGGGTGACTTTGGGCCAATCACCAGGAGAGGGTGATTTCTAGTCCTGCCTTAGGTATTAAAGCCAGTTGGGTGACTCTGCACCAATCAGCAGAAATCCTGGACACCCCCACAATATTCCCACTTCCTCGCCCAGATATCCTGGGAGGGGTCTGCTCTGCACCCACCGGCATTATTGATGAGGATGTCCAGACGGGGCTCCGATTTTAAGAAGGTCTCTGCAAAAGCTTGCACGGAGTTGAGGTTGGCCAGATCCAGGATCATCAGGATCACCTCCGAGTTCCCACTTTCCTGGAAAAGGAGCAGAAGGAATCCTGAGAAGAATCGGGATCGGGTGTGGCTTCCAAGGCTGATCCCGGTTTATTTACCTTCTACGTATTTCTGCTGACCTCCTAGCAATCAGTCTGGCTCAGACATGTCAAACACAAGGTCTGCAGGCCGGATCTGGACCATTGATGAGCCGAGGTGGCGCAGCAGTTAGAGTGTAGTACTGCAGGCCACTTTAGCTGACTGTGTTCAGCAGGTCAGCGGTTCAAATCTCACCGGCTCAAGGTTGACTCAGCCTTCCAGCCTTCCGAGGTAGGTAAAATGAGGACCCAGATTGTTGGGGGCAATGTAAATATATATAGACATTGCTTACTGGTGTACACCGCTTAGAGAGTGCTCGCACTTAAAGCGGTATATAAGTCTCATAAATAAATAAATAAATAAATTATGGGCCCAGATTTGGACAAGCCTCCCGCTCTCCACCCCACCCACGGCAGCTTGAGCTAACAGGAAGAGCAGGGAGCCCCCATGCCCAAGACGTAGCGGGGACTGTGCAGCCCGTGCAGCACAGGTGGGTGAGTGCCGCAACCTTCGGGCTGGCCCTCCAAGCAGCAGGTGGAGACAGAGGCATGGGGGGAGGCATGCGATCCGGCCTGCTGGACGCACCAGGTGATTGCAAGGCCACCTGCTGTATTCCAGCTCTGGCAGCCGCGGGCAAACAAGTGGTGGGACCACAGTGAGGCAGCCCAGCCAGTTGCCATTGCCACCATGCCACGTCCCCTGCACGCTCGGTCCCCACCATCCAACCTCATCTTCCAGCGAGCATCCGGGAGCTCAACGGCCAGGCTGAATACCCACCGCCAGGGTCCTGGGCAGCCCGCGCTGCCGTCCAAGGCCTCCCACATGGCCTGAGAGGGATGGCGAGGCTCCTCCAGTGGATCAGGCTCCCTCCCTGGTCCATCCACTGGAGACCCCTGGATCCCCCCAGCCCCACCCAGGCCTGATGCAAGCGAGGTTGAGCTGCCAATGCCCATCCCAGCCAGGCACAACCATCCCAACACACACACCCACCGAGGTCAACCACAATGATGATGCGGCCCTCAATGAAATCGAGTGACACCCCTGCTCTGGGTGGTGTATAATAAAACAATCCAGGTAATTCTCGACTTCCAACGATGCAAAATTACAATGCCACTGAAAAAAAGTTATTTACAACCGGTCCTCACGCTTTCAACCAGTGCAGCATCCCCAGAGGTCATGTGATCAGAATTTAGAACATCTATCGCACTGTGACTCTACGGCACCATATTATGGAGATTTTATCATGGTTTTTACCCTAACTTAATATTTATCTCGCCTTTTGTACTTTCCACCTGTTTGATATACATGTATTCGTTGATTTATTTAAATCTACATTTGCATCTGCCTGTATAGTGCATTTTACCTGCATTGCATGTAAGGGATTGTATGACCTCTGTAGATGCTATGCACTAAATAAATGAATAAAATCCATCAGGAAAAGACCTGAGTGCTGAAGAACGGAGGGAAGGAGAAAACCACACAGTAGGCGCTTACCCGTCTGATGTCACACACAGCCGATTCTCCTCTTGCTTTGTCGCGGCATGCCAGAATGACACGGGCACCTCTCCGGGCCAGATCCACTGCTGTGGCCTTCCCGATCCCTACATTTCCACCTAGGAAAGACCAGAGAAAGGAGGATTCACTGAGATCGCCCAGCCTTTGATGGTGTCGCATGGTGAAGCATTTGTTGGGCAGTGTTTCTCAACCTTGACAACTTAAAGATGGACTTCAACTCCCAGAGTTAAAGTTATTGTATAACTTTAATTAGATAACAGGAAAGGGAAAACTAAAAAAATTGGACAACAGGAAAGGCAAAACTAAACCTGAATAACGGGAAAGAACCTATTGTTCTAAGTAACCATAATATACCCCAGAACTTGAAAACAAGCTAACAGACCATGCTCAATAGACTATTGAATATTAGTTGACACACCTTGCATATATAATCTGCTAATTATAACGCACAAGCAATGTATGATTTAGTATATTCAAGGAGGGTAACAGGAAATATGTAGAAGGTGGTCAGAGAGAATGTAACCTCATAGTACCTCAGCCAATGGGGAATAAGGAGGGATGGGCAGCCGGTGCAAGGAATGTATAAAGATGTTGATTTGAGATGATAAACTTTGGAGAAAACCAAGCTTTGATAGCTTCTCTCCCCGCTTATTGCAATAAATGAAACACGGAATCTTGTTTCTGTGTCTTGGCTGGTTATTGGTCAGGCGAGCTTGCCACTGGTTGCGAAGAAAAATAGCCAGGAGCACATAACAGATTGGGGGATCGTCCGGGATTTGAATTCGTTCCACCATTAGCGGCAGGGGATATCTGACAGGGAGTGCGCACCTGGGTAAATTTTCCCAGCCCTAATGATCACGCCTGTTGGAACAAAGGGGAATTAGGGACCTATGACGGAAAGCCAGGACCTAGTGACAACCTAAAAGAAAGTCGACTGACTCAAAGGAGGACTTTGACTCCACCTGACAGGTAAGATACCAGAGGGGTATCTAGATACCAGCGTAGTATGAGTGGGCAATAAGAGTTCAAAGAGGAGGAATGCCTTCCCAGCCAGTGTGCCATTCTGGAATGGACTTCCTTAGGGAGAATGTTGAGGCATTGGAAGTCAAAAACGTAAGTAAGGCATTTGGACAGAGGAAGGATGATACATTATAGTACATACATCTGGCCAAAGTATAAATTTAGAGGCTTTATATGGCCTCCCTTTGGTACCAATAATTTGGCTATAGGCTTCTGGTTTTGTGCAGAGTGCAAGTAGCCGAGGGATCGCGGGGTTCTGCATCCTGCAGCTGATTCTTCTCCTTTTGGGGACCCTAAATGGCCCAAAAGTCACCCTGAGGAGGCAGCAAAGAAGGAAGGAAGCCCTGCTGACCGTGGAGAGATGACAGTCGATCCGGTCGGTTGGGGAAAGCCATCCAGAAACCAATAGAAGGCTAGTGTCACTCCAGAGTCTACCCAAGCTACAAGCAGCCAAAGCCAAAAAGCACTAAGTGAAGCTTGATCGTAAACGACGTGTCTGGAACTGGGTAAGAATACTGATTCTCTGTCTTCTGATTGATCTCCTAAAAAAAAAAAACCCTAAGAAACAAAAAATCCTCCGAAAGTGAGGATTTTTGCTCCACCCTCCCACAAATGGAGGTGGCGAATTAAATTTTTATAGGGGACAGAAACATACTGAAATGAAATGAATATGACTTAAATCTGGATAAGTGTGAATTTGGTGGAATTCATTAAGATTTTCTTGGCAAAAGATTATTGATGAAAACAGAAAACAATTGCCTGTTTTGAAAACTGAAAAATGAATTGGTGCTGATACCTAGTAATAATAATAATAATAATAATAATAATAATAATAATAACAACAACAACAACAACAACAACAACAACATACTGAATAACTCAGGACATGGCTATCAAACATCAAAAACATCTGCCAGACTATCCCACCTCCTTTACATGGATGATCTGAAGCTGTATGGAAAAACATCATCTGAAATAGAATCGCTGCTCAACACTGTCCGTATATATAGCCAAGATATTGTAATGGAGTTTGGCTTGGACAAATGTGCCACACTTACTATCAAACAAGGAAAAATAGTGAAAACTGAAGGAATCAAGATGCCCCACGAAAATAACATTAAGAGTCTGGATGAGGAAGAGTACTACAAATACTTGGGTATCCTTCAAGCTGACAACATCAAGCACACTGAAGTCAAGAAAAAGATTAGAGGTGAATACATCAAGAGAGTGAAGAAGATCTTAAAGTCCAAACTCAATGGAGGAAATACCATAAAGGCAATCAACACCTGGGCAATTCCAGTCATTAGGTACACAGCTGGAATAGTGGACTGGACTCAAGCAGAACTAAAAGCAATGGATAGGAAGACCAGAAAAATAATGACAATGAATCATGCCCTTCATCCACGCAGTGACATTGACAGACTTTATCTACCAAGGCAAATAGGTGGGCGTGGAATGCTGCAAGTACATCAGATGGTTGAAGAAGAAAAAATGGCTTTGGAAGAATATCTGAAGAACAATGATGAAGATGCACTGAAATTAGTATATCAGGAAGGCTTACTGACTACTGGAGAGACCAAACTGGCCTACAAGAAAGACCAAATGAAGAACAGAATAGAGGCATGGGAAGACAAAGCACTACATGGTCAGTACATTAAAAAAAATAGCTGGGAAAGCAGATAATAACAAGACCTGGCAATGGCTAAGAGCAGGAAAATTGAAGAAAGAGACTGAGGGACTAATTCTGACTGCACAAGACCAAGCCTTAAGGACAAATGCATATAAAGTCAGAATTGAGAAGTCAGCAACAAACAGTGAGTGCCGCCTACGCAAAGAAGCTGAAGAAACAGTGGACCACCTGGTAAGCTGCTGCAAGAAGATCGCACAGACTGACTACAAGCAGAGGCATGACAAAGTAGCAACCATGAAAAAGTAGCAACCAGTAGCATTGGAAGATCTGCAAGAAATATCATTTGACTGTAAGAAAAAACTGGTGGGATCATAAAACAGAGAAAGTCATAGAAAATGATAAAATTAAACTACTCTGTGACTTCAGAATTCAAACAAGCACCTGCAACATAACACCCCGGACTTAACAATTGTCGATAAGAAAGACAAAAAAGTCTGGATAGTGGACGTGGCAGTGCCTGGAGACAGCAGAATAGAGAGAAAGAACTGGAGAAGATAACAAAATACAAAGACCTACAAATAGAAATAGAAAGACTGTGGCAAAAGCAAGCAAGGGTAGTACCAATAGTCATAGGCGCCTTGAGTGCAATCCCAAAACAACTGGAGCACCACTTGAACACCATCGGCATTGACAAATTCGCTATTAGTCAATTGCAAAAGGCGGCCTTACTAGGAACTGCTTCCATCCTGCGACGATATCTGTAATACCATCAAACATCCACATCTGCCTATCCCAGGTCCTTGGGCTCGAGAGGTAGACAAAATGTCAAATCCAGTCTGAACATCTGGCTGACTGTGTGATGATCCATAATAATAATAATAATAATAATAATAAAAAAGTTGGAAGGACCTTGGAGGTCATCTAGTCCAACCCCCTGCTCAGGCAGGAAACCCTATACCATTTTGGACAAATTGCTGTCCAGTCTCTTCTTAAGAACTTCATTGTTGGAGCATTCACAGCTTCTGGAGGCAGGTTGTTCCACTGGTTAATTGTTCTCACTGTCAGGAAGTTTCTCCTTAGTTCTAGGTTGCTTCTCTCCTTTAGTTTCCATCCGTTGCTTCTTTTCATGCCTTCAAGCACTTTGGAAAATAGCTTGACTTGGAACAATGGATGGGAACTAACCAAGGAGAGAAGCAACCTGGAATTAAGGAGAATAGTGCCATAAAAAACAAAATAAAAACACAAATTAAGATAGGCAAGAAAATGGTAAGTGAGCACCTGTTCAGCCTAGATGAGTTCAAATCGCCAGGACCAGATGGATTACACCCCAGAGTTCTCAAGGAACTGGCAGATGTGATATCGGAACCACTGAACTATATTTTTCAAAGATCCTGGAACACAGGGGAACTACCAGAGGACTGGAAAAGAGCTGATGTAGTTCCCATCCTCAAAAAAGGAAAAAAATGGATCCAGGAAATTAGACCTATCAGCCTGACCTCAATACCTGGGAAGATCCTGGAAAAGATAATCAAACAACGAATCAACGAACACCTAGAGGCAAACAAAGTCATTACTAAAAGCCAACATGGGTTTGTCAAAAATAGATCATGCCAGACAAATTTTATTGCATTCTTTGACCAAGTGACAAAATTAGTGGATCAGAGGAATGCTGTGGACATAATTTACTTGGACTTTAGTAAGGCATTTGATAAAGTAGATCACAACCTACTACTTGACAAGATAGAAAAATGTGAGGTAGACAGAACCACCACCAGATGGATCTGTAGCTGGCTGACCGGCCGTACTCAGCGAGTGGTCCTCAATGGAACCGCATCTACATGGAGGGAAGTGTGTAGTGGGGTGCCCCAGGGCTCTGTTCTGGGCCCAGTGCTCTTCAACATCTTCATCAACGATTTGGATGAAGGGATAGATGGGGAACTCATCAAATTTGCATACGACACCAAGCTGGCAGGAATAGCCAACACTCCAGAAGACAGGCTTAAGATACAGAAGGATCTGGACAGACTTGAACACTGGACACTAACTAACAAAATGAAATTCAATGGTGAAAAAAGCAAGGTTCTACATTTAGGCAAGAAAGTACAGCACAAGTACAGCATAGGTGGCACCATGCTCAATAGTAGTAACTGTGAGAGGGACCTCGGAGTCCTAGTAGACAATCACCTAAATATGAGCCAGCCGTGTGCTGCAGCTGCCAAAAAGGCCAACACAGTGCTAGGCTGCATTAACAGAGGATAGAATCAAGATCACGTGAAGTATTAATACCACTCTTCAATGCCTTGGTAAGGCCACACTTGGAATACTGCATCCAGTTTTGGTCACCACGATGTAAAAAAGATGTTGAGACTCTAGAAAGAGTACAGAGAAGAGCAACAAAGATGATTAGGGGACTGGAGGCTAAAACATATAAGGAACCGTTGCTGGAATTGGGTATGTCTAGTTTAATGAAGAGAAGGACGAGGGGGGACATGATAGCAGTGTTCCAATATCTCAGGGGCTGCCACAAAGAAGAGGGAGTCAAGCTATTTTCCAGAGCACCTGAAGGCAGGACAAGAAGCAACGGGTGGAAACTAACCAAAGAGAGAAGCAACCTAGAACTAAGGAGAAACTTCCTGACAGTTAGAACAATTAACCAGCGGAACAACCTGCCTCCAGAAGCAGTGAATGCTCCAACACTGGAAATTTTCAAGAAGAGACTGGACAGCCATTTGTCTGAAATGGTGTAGGGTTTCCTGCCTGAGCAGGGGGTTGGACTAGATGACCTCCAAGGTCCCTTCCAACTTTACCACTATTACTATTACTAGGGAGGACAATTAACCAGTGGAACACCTTGCCTCCAGAAGTTGTGGCTGATTCATCACTGGAGGTTTTTAAAATGCGAGTGGACAGCCCCTTGTCAGGAATGGTTATATAGGGTCTCCTGCTTGAGGAGGGGGTTGATAGAAGACCTCCCTCTGCCAGCACTCCGTTATTCCCTTATTCTGTTGGTCTTTCCCAGGCTCCCCCTGGCTAGTCCAGACACGGGTCTCCGGCAGCCCAGCGGGGGGGAGGGCACTTTCTGCCCTGCTCTCCCGCCCCGCCTCCTCCCTCCCCGGCCAGGGGTCCCAGGCGGGTCTCTGCGGAGCCTCCCCCGCTTTATTCCCAAGGAGCTTTTGGGGATGGACTTTCCCGGGTTGGTCCAAGGCCCCTTTGGGTCCACCTGGATGGGGGACAACCTGGGTTATGGTGAACCCGCGACCCGCATTTCGCTTGGACCTTTGATTCCGGGAATTGGATCCCGCCTGGAGCCCCCGAGGTGGGGGTGGGGGGGTTATTTAATAAGAAAGAAAGAAAGGCCACGCCCCCCGCCCCAGCCGCCACGCCCCCCCCCCGCCACGGATGGGAGCGCAGCGGCCCGCGGAGCTACCTGTGATGAGAACCGTCTTGCCCCGCAGGCTGACCGCGTTCCGGCACCGGGGGCCCACCGCGAAGTTGTAGTAGAGCAGCGCGTAGAGCCCCAGCAGGAGCGCCGCGCCCCCCGCCAGCATCGCCAGCGCCTCCATGGCCCGCTCGCTCGCCCGGCCCCGCTACCTTTCCCCGCAGCCCGGGAGCGCTTCGTTTTTACCCGGACGGTCGCCGCCCTCGGCCCTCCCCCCCGCCTCCCACCTCCCGCTCCTCCCCGCGTGGGAAAGCCAGCTTCTCGCCCTCCCCTACTGGGCTAGGCAGGCAGGCAGGTAGGAATGGGAAGGAGGGAGGAGAGGGAGGGAGGGAGGGAGGGAAGAAGGAAGGAAGGAACGAAGGAAGGAAGGAAGGAAGGAAGGAAGGAAGGAAGGAAGGGAAATGGGAATGGGAGGGAGAGAGGAAGGAAGGAAGGAAGGAAATGGGAATGAGGGAGGGAGGGAAGGAAGAAGGAAGGAAGGAAGGAAGGAAGGAAGGAAGGGAAAGGGGAGGGAGGAAGGAAGGAAATGGGAATGAGGGAGGGGAGGAAGGAGGAAGGAAGGAAGGAAGGAAGGAAGAAGGAAGGAAGGAAGGGAAATGGGAATGGGAGGGAGAGAGAAAGGAAGGAAGGAAGGAAATGGGAATGAGGGAGGGAGGGAAGGAAGGAAGGAAGGAAGGAAGGAAGGAAGGAAGGAAGGGAAATGGGAATGGGAGGGAGAGAGGAAGGAAGGAAGGAAGGAAATGGGAATGAGGGAGGGAGGGAAGGAAGGAAGGAAGGAAGGAAGGAAGGAAGGAAGGAAGGAAGGAAGGAAGGGAAATGGGAATGGGAGGGAGGGAGGAAGGAAGGAAATGGGAATGAGGGAGGGAGGGAAGGAAGGAAGGAAGGAAGGAAAGAAGGAAGGAAGGAAATAGGTGGAAGCTGGTCAGCCCTCCTGCCCTCTTGCCATCTCCTTGCCCGCACCTCCCGGCCTCTCCTAGTGGTCTCCCATCTTATCTCTGAGGATGCTTTGCTTACAGAGCCTGGACTCCTGGCATGGGGAGGGAGGGGGGCCTCCCTCTCACCCACCCGCTCTGCCTTCTGCTACCCCCGTCCCTTGGCTCTGCGCCCAGCTGCTAAGGCCGAGGGGCAGGGGGACCAGCACTGGGTCAGAATGGGGGTGGGGACCGTATTTTATGGTGCCCTACCTCAAAGGGGTTTTCTTTCAGCTCCTCCCTTGCCCTGATTTCTAACCCAGAATGTGGCCCCTTTTTCTGAGGGCAACCATTGGGCCTGCCTCAACACCCCTTTTTCAGACCTTGGGGGGGTCCAGTGGAACAAGAGGGGAGGGTCTCCTTGTTATAATCCCCATCGCTCAGAATCTTCATCTGTGGAACCACCTTGAACCGAGAGATAGGAATATTTAAAGTGCCAGACTTAACAATTGTCAATAAGAAAGACCAAAAAAAGTCTGGATAGTGGACGTGGCAGTGCCTGGAGACGGCAGAAGAGAAGGGAAGGAACTGGAGAAGATCACAAAATGCACAAAGAGCTGCAAATAGAAAGCAAAGTTAGCACCAAAAGCAATAGGGGTCTTGGGGGCCATCCCAAAACATCTGGAGCATCACCTGAACCCCATCGGCATGAACACATTCACCAACAGTCCATTGCAAAAGGCTGGGAATAGTTACCAACCTGTGGGAAGACTTTTAACACATCACACAATATCTGCTCCCACATCTTAAAGGTTAAGTAACACTGCTTTACAATTTGCCCAGGGTCGCTATTGCAACATGGGCAGCTTTATAATGCATAAAAGTCAGTAAACATCTTATAAATAATGGCATATAGATGCTTGCTTCATCCCAAGATGCAAAAGATGGCTATTGACATAGGATGGTATAATAGGCTCTCCTGCTTGAGCAGGGGGCTGGACTAGAAGACCTCCAAGGTCCCTTCCAGCTCTATTCTATTCTATTCAAAAAAGGGAAAAAAATGGACCCAGGAAATTACAGATCTATCAGCCTGACCTCAATACCTGGGAAGATCCTGGAAAAGATAATCAAACAATGAATCAGCGAACACCTAGAGGCAAATAAAGTCATTACCAAAAGCCAACATGGTTTTGTCAAAAACAGATCATGCCAGACAAATCTTATTGCATTCTTTGACAAAATTAGTGGATCAGAGGAATGCTGTGGATATAATTTACTTGGACTTTAGCAAGGCATTTGATAAAGTAGATCACAACCTACTACTTGATAAGATAGAAAAATGCGGGTTAGACAGCATCACCACCAGATGGATCTGCAGCTGGCTGACCGGCCGTACTCAGCATGTGGTCCTCAATGGAACGCATCTACATGGAGGGAAGTGTGTAGTTGGGTGCCCCAAGGCTCTGTTCTGGGCCCAGTGCTCTTCAAAATCTTCATCAACGAACTGGACAAGGGGATAGATGGGGAACTCATCAAATTTGCAGACGACACCAAGCTTGCAGGAATAGCCAACACTCCAGAAGACATACTGGAGGATCTGGACAGACTTGAACACTGGGCGCCATCTAACAAAATGAAATTCAATGGTGAAAAAAGCAAGGTTCTACATTTAGGCAAGAAAAACCAAATGCACAGGTATAGTAGGGGTACCTTGCTCAATAGTAGCAACTGTGAGAAGGATCTCGGAGTCCTAGTTGACAATCATTTAAATATGAGCCAGCCGTGTGCTGCAGCTGCCAAAAAGGCCAACATAGTGCTAGGCTGCATTCACAGAGGGATAGAATCAAGATCACATGAAGTATTACTACCACTTTACAAGGCCTTGGTAAGGCCACACTTGGAATACTGCATCCAGTTTTGGTCACCACGATGTAAAAAAGATGCTGAAACTCTAGAAAGAGTACAGAGAAGAGCAACAAAGATGATTAGGGGACTGGAGGCTAAAACATATAAGGAACGGTTGCTGGAATTGGGTATGTCTAGTTTAATGAAGGGAAGGACGAGGGGGGACAGGATAGCATCCTTCCAGTATCTCAGGGGCTGCCCCAAAGAAGAGGCAGTCAAGCTCTTCTCCAAAGGGCCTGAAGGCAGAACAAGAAGCAACGGATGGAAACTAAGCAGGGAGAGAAGCAACCTGGAATTAAGGAGAAACTTCCTGACAGTGAGAACAATTAACCAATGGAACAACCTTCCTCCAGAAGCAGTGAATGCTCCAACACTGGAAGTTTTTAAGAAGAGATTGGACAGCCATTTGTCCGAAATGGTATAAGGTTTCCTGCCTGAGCAGGGGGTTGGACTATTCTATTCTATTCTATTCTATTCTATTCTATTCTATTCTATTCTATTCTATTCTATTCTATTCTATTCTATTCTATTCTATTCTATTTGCAAGCTGTTCCACTGGTTAATTGTCCTCACTGTTAGGAAGTTTCTTCTTAGTTCCAGGTTGAAAACCACTCGGGTACAAATGCAGAGTCTCCCTCCAGGAAAAACTCTGAATTAAAAATGTTTCACGACCCAACTAGGTAACATTATCAATATGCATGAGTTGGGATATGAAACGTCTGTAAAAAAACAACGAAACTCAGACAGCTCCAAGGACCCCACAATCTTCCTCTTCTCCACAAACCTCACTCCCTGATGATGTTACCTAGTTGGGTCATGAAACGTATGGCAAGAAAACCGCCAAGCTCAGAGAGCACCAAGTTCCCCCCAGTCCTCCTCCTTTCTCTAAACTCCACTCCCTTCCAGCACTGATGATGTTGCCTAGTTTGGTAATGAGATGCCTTCAAGAAAGCCCCAGGTCAGAGACCGCTAAGGATCTCACAGATCAACTCTAAACTACAAATATCCCACTAATTCAAACTGGGAGATCCTTGGTGCTCTCTTGAGCTGGGTGGCTTCCTTGCAGACATTTCATGACCCAAGTAGGGAACACCATCAGCGAAGGGAAGAGATTCATTTGCTCACCAGCCAGCTTGTTACACGGTTTTGGTGGCTCAGTGTTGTCTCCCTGAGGAACATTGATATATGTAACCCCACCAAAGCACCAGTCTGGAGGAGTGCTGGACTTTTGACTTGGTTGATGGAGCAGAATTGGTGCCATGCGGCTGAGGGATTCTAGTTTTGGAGAAAGAGACGTGGGCCCTACTAGAGTTGCATCTTTGCAACCAAGATCTTCTAGCCAGATTTTTTTTCAGGAACAGGTTTGGCTGCATCTTTGCAACCAAGATCTTCTAGCCAGATTTTTTTTTTCAGCTTGATGGAGAGGAGGATGAGAGCATTTGAGTTCCTTGGCCCAACGAAGGAACAGGCACATGTCCTTGAAGGAGCTGCCATTATGATGTCCCATCTTCAGTGGTCAATAAGGGCCACCAGGAAGCACCCAGTGAATTTGCTTCAGCTTCCCCTCCATGCATTGATGATGCCCTTGGCCCTCTGGGAATCGCAACCCACATATCGGAGGTTACTGAGGTTGAAAACCACTGGGGTTGAAATGCAGTCTCTCCCCCCCCCCAGGAAAAACTCTGAATTAAAGGTGTTTCAGGACCCAACTAGGTAACGTCATCAGTATGCATGAGGTGGGTCATGAAAAGTCTGCAAGTAAACAACCAAACTAAGAAGCACCAATCCTCCTCCTTTCTGCAAATCCCTGGGTCTAACAAGCATTGACAATAGATGGAAATGTAGCCATCTTTTTCCCTTCCGCATTTAGTGTTAGATGATGCTGGGAGGGGGGATGTGAATGAAGTCCAGCTAGACATAACAACACTAAACCTAGCCTGAGAATCAAGGTTATTGAGCCCAGAGCTGATAAAAGAATTGGTGGACTGGAGAACTGGAGAGGAAGCCCGTGTTTCGAGCTAATTGGGGAATGTGATTTATGACAGTTAATTGGAGGAGGGAATTGTGCTTTGATACTAGGTGCCAAGGGGAGGGGAATTCAGTTTTTGGCTTTGATTATGTAGTGCTGATGTTACGCTACTCGAATAAAAGATTCTTTAAGGTAACCAATGCCTCGAAGTTCTTTTGAAGAGTTTCATCTGTCGGAACCATGACACAAGCTGCTTAGGACCCTGAACTATTTCAGTCTTATCACTCCCCAACATACACAAGGGCAGGGGTCTGCATCCTTAAACACTCAAAGAGCCACTTGGACCCGTTTCCCAGA